AACAAAGTTAAAGGAAAATGGTGAAATTGACAAGCACAAAGCACGCTTGGTTGTCAAGGGGTACAAGCAACAATATGGGATTGATTATACAAAAGTTTTTTCTCCTGTTGCGAGACATGATACAATCAGGTTGGTGGTTGCATTGGCTGCATAAAATTCTTGGCCTATATACCAGCTAGATGTCAAATCGGCATTCTTGCATGGGTACTTAGAGGAACAAATATTTATTGAACAACCCCCTGGTTATGAGAAAGTTGGAAATGAGCATAAAGTTTACAAATTGAAAAAGGCACTTTATGGACTAAAACAAGCCCCTCGAGCTTGGTATAGTCGCATTGAGTCTTATTTTCTTAAGGCTGGTTTTATAAAGTGTCCTTATGAACATACACTCTTTGTTAAGATTGGTGATGAAGGAAAAATGCTTATTGTTTGCTTATATTGGAAATTGTGATGTTATGTTTGAAGAATTTAAAAAGTCTATGATGAATGAGTTTGAAATGACTGATCTTGGTATGATGCATTACTTTCTTGGCATAAGTGTAGCACAATCAAGTGATGGAATTTTTATTTCTCAAAATAAATATGTGGAAGATATTCTAGACAGGTTTCAGATGAAGGATTGTAATCCTGTGCACACTCCAGTTGAATGTGGCTTGAAGTTACATAAAGATCATGGAGGAAAGAAGGTTGACAGCACCTTCTACAAACAAATTGTGGGAAGTTTGATGTATCTCACTGCAACAAGACCAGACATAATGTATTCTGTGAGTTTAATTAGCAGGTATATGGAAAATCCTACAGAAATACATTTGTTGGCTGCCAAGAGAATCCTTCGCTACTTGCAAGGAACAAGAACTTTCGGGATATTTTACAAGAAGGGTGTAAAATCTGATTTAGTGGGATTTACTGAATGTGATTATGCAGGAGATCAAGATGACAGGAAGAGCACATCAGGTTATGTTTTTATGATTGGTATTTATGATTGGTACAGGTGCTATTTCTTGGGCATCGAAGAAGCAACCAATTGTCACTTTGTCAAATACAGAAGCTGAATTTGTTGCTGCTACAGCTTGTGCATGCCAAGCCATTTGGCTAAGGAGAATTCTTGAAGAACTTCACTTCAAGCAAGAAGGAGAAACTTTAATTTATTGTGACAATAATTCTGCAATTAAATTGTCAAAGAATCCAATTTTACATGGGAGAAGCAAGCATATAGATGTGAAGTATCATTTCTTAAGGGATCTTACAAAGGCTGGTATAATTGATCTTATTTTTTGTAGAAGTGAGGATCAAGTTGCTGATTTGTTTATGAAGCCTCTCAAATATGTTGCGTTTCAAAAGCTCAGGGGATTACTTGGCATATGTTCCATGGAGAAAGTCAAAGGATTTGGAGTAAACTGAATTTTTCAAGAACATCAGTTTAAGGGAGGGAATGTTAGAGTCTCTTTGTTTTTTGTCCGTTAGAAAATTCAATGGTCTTTTAAGTTTGATGTAACAACCATGTGCTGCACTAAAGTTGTTTGATGAGTCTTAACGGTATCATAATGGGTCAGTTTTGGGTAGTATAATGAGTCATTAAGTTAGAGTTTATTTGGGAGTAATGTGTCTCTTAATGTTATGTTTTTCAGTTTTAGTTTCTGGTTTATATTAAGTTTGAGTCAGTTTATGAAATTTGTATTCCCTCTTAAAACATTGTGAGTTATATTTCTGCATCTTAATTTTTCTCTATCAACCCTACGATACACACGATCGAGCGAGAAAAAAGTGAGGGGATCCTGCGAATGATTTTGCCACATCCCCTTGACTGTGTAGCAGATTTGAGAATATTTCCAAATTTTGCGATGTTTTCTTTGAATGAGGCTAAACGAATGTACCTAAGCGGCGTTTCTCTTGTAGTGAATCCCCTAAACCAAAAATGCAAAGTTCCCACTATTCTTCTCTTGCTTTATTGTTATTCTCGTTTGGTCAAAATTGACTTGAAAAGAAGAGGCGTGAATGACGTCATACCAAAAATGGGACTCAGATTTGCTAAGCAAACAGTGCAGAATTGTAGTTAAAAAAATAAAAGGGATTAATTAGCATAATCATATATGTGATCTCTTGCTTTTTTTTTTCTTTTTACTTTAAATATTAGTGTAGTGGAAGAGGCTATATTGAAAAATGGATACTATTATATCACATGAGGTTATATTACAGAATTTCATAATTTCTCATATGAATTAATGATCGTTAATGCTGAAACATGACCGAAAGTGGCTACTGGCTAGATAGGAATGAAGTAGGATTCGAAAAAGTCACAACTCTCAATATAATTTTATTTAACCAAAAATAATTAAATAAATTACAATCCACAACACCCTTAAATTGGCAACCAAAAACCAAATAATCCTAAAAAAATAAAATAATTAAAAATTAAAAATAATCACAACAGCCCAAAAAATATTGCGACTCTTTGCAAAGCATGAGTCATTTCAGAAAAATCGGTTCCAACGTGAGGTCAAGTTTGAGCCCCTTATGAGATAATTACCCCGGCCTTTTATTTTAATATTTTCTTTTTCATTATACAACCCGGCCCAACCACTTTGGACATAAGTCAATTTATTTTCTTTTTTCAAATCATGTCATATATTGTTTAATTTGTAAGGTTGTATCATTTATATATAATTAGAAGAGAGAAGCCATTAGAGGACAAAAATGTCACGTGTATGCTTTAAACTTCATGTATCAGATTCTTTTTCACACTTAACTCGTTAATAACGATAATAATGAGGACAAAAATTGTAAACTAAATGAAAATCGTAAACTAAATCAAAACGGAAACGATATTTCAAACGAAAATTAATTGAGAAACGGAAACTAAATGAGAAATAGAAACTAGAGGAGAAAAATGTCACGTGTCTGCTTTAGACCCCATGAACCAGATTCCTTTTCACACTTAACCGGTTAATAACAATAATAATGAGGACAAAAATAGTAAACTAAATGAAAACGGAAACTATATTTCAAACGAAAACTATATTTCAAACAGAATTTAATTGAGAAACAGAAACTAAATGAGTTAGCCATAGCACAAGTTTTTCGTCCCAAGTTGGGAATAAAAATAATAGTATATACCCTTAATGGGAATTAAAATTAAAATCTAATTAGAAGATAGAAGCCTATAACTAGAAGATAGAAGCCACTAGAGGATAAAAATGTCACGTGTCTACTTTAGACCCCATGAACCATATTCCTTTTCACACTTGACCGATTAATAACAATAATAAGGACAAAAATGTCGCGTGACTTCTTTAGACCCTATGAACCAGATTTCTATTCACATTTAACCAGTTAATAACAAAAATAGTGTTTGTTCCTCTAATACACCCCCTCAAGTTGCAACGTGTAGATTTGAAATGCCCAACTTGGATAACACACTATGGGCGGCTTATCTTAAATGACAGCTATTACGATTGGAATTTTGTTGGCAAAATTAATTAAATCAAATTATAGAACAAAAAACATGGAAGTGTCCATTTATTTTCATACGGGGTTCAATTGTGCCACAATAACTACCCTTATATAGTGGGGGAGAAAGAGAAATAAATTAATAGAAAATTTTATTGAATTAATTAATTAAAACAAATTATAGAAAAAAATATGGAAATGTCTCTTCATTTTCAGACGTAAACTAATCAGGCTCAATTAATTTTCGGGTTTTAAAATCTGAGTTTCCTGATGACGCTTATAGCGTGGATTTCACGCTATGAGCGTGGTACCTCCTGAATGGTGACGCTGAGAGCGTGCTATCCACGCTGTGGGCGTGGTAGCTTTTGTTACCTTTCTCACGCTCGAAGCGTGAATCCCACGCTCGAAGCGTGAATCCCACGCTAAGAGCGTGGTAGCTTCTGTTTCATCACGCTGATAGCGTAAAATTCACGCTGACAGCGTGGCTCTCTTCCACATGTCTCATGCTAAGAGCGTGGATATGACGCCAGCAGCGTTAATTTTAAGTGCACAGCTTATTACTCTCTAACCTAAAACAAAATTAAAATGACTATACTAACCTTTCTTGCTAGGTTGCCTCCCAACGAGCGCTTGTTTAACGTCACGAGCCTGACTGGAACCGTTTAAGATTCATGTGAAGCCAAAGGGACGAAAATTGTGTCCCTATTCACATGTTCTCCATGATAGAATTTTAATCTACTCCCATTGACCTTGAATGGTCTTTCAGCATCGAGAGGGGAGATTTCAATCGTACCATATGGGAATACGTTTTTCACAATAAAAGGACCAGACCAACGAGATTTGAGTTTACCTGGAAACAATCTCAGTCGAGAGTTGTACAGTAATATCTGTTGTCCGGGCACAAATTCCTTGTGCTGAATCTTCCTGTCATGCCACTTCTTTGTTTTATCTTTGTAGATTCTGGCACTCTCATACGCAGAATTTCTGAACTCATCAAGCTCACTCAATTGAGCCTGTCTTTTCTCCAAAGCTTTTGTTGAATCAAAATTTAGGAATTTGATAGCCCAGAAAGCTTTATGTTCCAGCTCCACAGGTAGATGGCAAGATTTTTCAAATACTATCTGATAAGGTGACGTGCCAATAGGAGTTTTGAAAGCAGTCCTATAAGCCCACAAAGCATCATCTAGCCGCTTGAACCAATCCTTCAAAGAATTTCCAACGGTCTTCTCAAGAATCCTCTTTAACTCTCTGTTAGAGACCTCCACTTGTCCGCTGGTTTGAGGATGGTAAGGTGTAGCAACCTTATGTTTAACACCATACTTAACCAGTAAGTTATCAAACTGTTTGTTGCAAAAGTGAGTCCCTCCATCACTGATTATTTCCCTTGGTACACCAAACCTTGTGAAAATGTTCTTTCTCAAGAAATTGACAACCACCTTAGCATCATTACTGGGAAGAGCAACAACCTCAACCCACTTAGAGACATAGTCAACAACAACAAGGATGTATTGATTGGAATATGATGAAGGAAATGGCCCCATGAAATCTATCCCCTACACATCAAAGAGCTCTACCTCTAATATATTATTCAGAGGCATTTCATCTTTGCGGGAAATATTTCCCACTTTTTGGCATCTGTCATATCTTTCAACAAAATTCCTTGCGTCCTTGAATAACGTAGGCCAGTAGTAACCACTATGTAGAACTTTTTGAGCAGTTCTATTGCCTCCAAAGTGTCCTCCGTAGTCAGATGCATGGCAGTGCCACAGGATCTCATGAACTTCAAATTCGGGCACACACCGTCTTATAATTCCATCAGCACACTGGAAATACAAGTAAGGATCATCCCAATGAAACCTCCTTGCATCTCTGAGGAACTTCTTCTGTTGTTGCCTTGTAAGATTGGGAGGCAACTCTTTATCACCTTGTAATTGGCAATATCTGCAATTTCAAGGAGGTACGAATATCACCATTACTCTTTCATCAGGAAAATGGTCATTTATTTCCTTCTCAGGACCATCTTGTAGTTATTTTTCCTGAATCTGTGACAAGTGATATGCCACCTTGTTCTCCACTCCAGCTTTATCCCGGATCTCCATGTCAAACTCTTGAAATAAGAGTATCCATCTGAGCAACCGAGGCTTTGCATCCTGCTTATTCATTAAATACTTGATAGCAGAGTGGTCAGTAAACACAATAACCTTGGACCCCAACATATAAGATCTAAATTTGTCTAATGCATATACTACTGCTAGCATTTCCTTCTCAGTGGTGGCATAATTTACTTGTGCCTCATTTAAAATTTTGCTAGAGTAGTATATAACATGTAACAATTTATTCCTCCGTTGTCCAAGGACTGCACCTATAGCATAGGCACTAGCATCACACATAAGCTCAAAGGGTAAACTCCAATCAGGAGCTACTAAAACAGGAGCTGTGGTGAGCTTTTCTTTTAACAGATTAAAAGCTTTAAGACATGCATCATCAAATCGAAATTCAGAATCTTTTTCTAAAAGTTGGCTTAAAGGTTTAGCTATTTTAGAAAAATCTTTTATAAATCTCATGTAAAACCCAGCATGTCCTAAAAAACTTCTAATACTAGTCACATTATCAGGGGAGGTAATTTCTCAATTAACATCAATTTAGCTTCATCTACCTCAATCCCTTTTTCAGATATCTTATGTCCTAAAACAATTCCCTCTTGTACCATAAAATGACATTTTTCCCAGTTTAGTACAAGATTTGTTTCTTGGCATCTTTTTAACACATGAATTAAATTTAGCAAACATAAATCAAAGCAAGAGCCAAAAACAGAAAAGTCGTCCATAAATACCTTCAGGTTTTTCTCCACCATGTCAGAAAAGATGGAGAGCATGTACCTCTGAAATGTAGCAGGTGCATTACATAGACCGAATGGCATTCGTCTATAAGCAAAAACTCCAAAAGGGCAGGTGAAAGCTGTTTTCTCTTGGTCCTCCGGTGCCACTGGAATTTGGTTGTATCAGAATATCCGTCCAAGAAGCAGTAATAGTTATGACCTGCCAATCTTTCCAACATTTGATCAACAAAAGGAAGTGGAAAGTGGTCCTTCCTTGTAGCTGTATTTAGTCTTCGGTAGTCCACACACATTCTCCAACCAGTAATGGTTCTAGTTGGAATCAGCTCATTTTTCTCATTGTGAACTACTGTGATACCTCCCTTTTTCGGAACAGTCTGCACTGGGGTCACCCAAGCAGTATCCGAAATTGGATAAATCATGCCAGCATCAAAAAGTTTCACAACTTCTTTCCTTACAACTTCCTTCATTGTTGGATTAAGTCTCCTTTGAGGCTGTCTCACTGGCCGAACCTCATCTTCCATGAGGATTTTATGTGTACAGAATGAGGGATTAATACCCTTTAAATCAGAAATTGACCACCCTATGGCAGTCTTATGCTCTCTAAGCACTTCAACCAGTCTTGTCTCTTGCTCAGAAGACAATCCCTTATTAATGATAATAGGGTAAGTCTCCTCTTCACCCAAGAAGATATATTTGAGAGTTTCTGGAAGCTCCTTCAACTCTACCTTTGGTGCACCATCTTACTTGTCAGAATCTTTCTTTTCAAGGACTTCAAACAACTCATTTTTTCTTCCTTGTAAGGAACCATTTCATGTGCTTGAAGTTCTTCCTCAGATTGTTGACTAGAAAATACCTCTTCTTCCACTACTTGCTCTAGAATATCAAGACGAAAACAATCGCCTTTATCAGAAGATTGTTTCATAGAGTTAAAAACATTGATGGTGATGGTCTCATCATTCATTCTTAACTCTAACCTGCCATTCTCAACATCAATCATGGCTCGAGCAGTCGCCAAGAAAGTTCTTCCTAATAATAGGGCCATTTCAGTACCCTCTTCCATATCTAATACCACAAAATTAGCTGGGAAGATGAACTTATCCACCTTGACAAGCACATCTTCAATAATACCATTTGGTCTCCTCAAAGATCTATCAGCAAGTTGTAGAGAAACCATAGTGGGTTTTAACTCAGTAATTCCCAGAGATTTGCAAACAGATAACGACATCAGATTAATACTTGCCCCAAGATCACATAGTGCTCTGCCAACATCAGTGTTACCGATAGCAATTTGAATATTGAAGCTTCCCAGATCACAGAGTTTAGGTGGGAACTTCTTTTGTATAATGGCACTACACTCTTCAGTGAGTGTTACTGTTTGGCACTCCTGTAGCTTATGTTTCCTTGACAACAAGTCCTTCATGAATTTTGCATAATTTGGCATGCCAGCCAAGGCTTCAGCAAAAGGAATATTTATATGCAGCTTCTTGAAGATATCCAAGAATCTTGCATACTGCTGTTTCTGAGCGTCTTTTTTAAACCTTTCTGGGTAAGGTGCCATAGCTCTCACATATTCTGGCTTCAGCTCGAATTTCTTTTTCTCAGCAACAGTTATTTGTGAACATGTGTCTCAACATCAGAAGGAATAACCACTTCTTCCTCTACCTCCTTACCCTTTCCAGTAGCGTCCGCATTTGTGGTTGGCTTTGTTGAAGCTGCCACCACCTTGCCACTTCTTGTAGTTATAGCCATACAGTCATCCTTCGGATTAGTGACTGTATTGCTAGGGAAAGTGTCTGGAGTTCTTTCGGCCATCTGTTTAGCCATCTGGCCAATCTGGTTCTCCAAATTTCTGATAGAGGCTTGTGTGTTTCTAGTGTTTGCCCGAGTCTCTTCCATAAAAGCATTGGAATGTTGGGCCATTTGTCCCACTAGCTTCTCTAACTCAGAAGGTTCCTTCGGTTGAACTGGCGGTGGCTGCAAATAGTTATTGGACTTGAAGTCAAGACCATTACCTTGCACCCTCCTTTGGAAGTTATTGTTCCCAGAAGGAAGATTCTGAGTTCTTGGAACATTTTGTGGTGAGGGTCTCTGATCATACCACATACCATTTACATGTACCTGCTGAGGAGGATCATAGGCTAGCAGAGTAGGACATTCATTGGATTCATGATCTTCTTTACAATATTCACAGACAACTGCTGCAGCTTGAGCTTGAACACTAGAAAATTGCATCTTATCAAGCCTTGATGTCAAGTTTGCTACCTACTGAGATAACAAACTGGTTTCAGCCATCACCACATCATTGCCTTCCAGTTTAAGAATACCTCTTTTAGGCTTGGATGACAACGCTTGGTTTTCGTTGGCAGCCATCCTCTCAATCAACTCAAGAGTCTCATTTGCTCTTAGAGTTTTAATAGTGCCCCCTGCTGCACCATTTAGCACCATTCGAATCTCAGGTTTGCAACCATTGAAAAAGATTCTAACCTGACTACCAGCAGTCAAGTTATACTGAGGACACCTTCTCATCAAGTCTTTGAACCGGTTCCATGCTTCACACATTGATTCACCCTCTGATTGAGTGAAATTGGTGATATCATTCACCATCTGGTTATACTTTTCCATCGAGAAGAACTGAACAAAGAACTTCTGTGATAAATCATCCCAGGTAGAGATGCTTGCTGCAGGCTGCCTTTCCAACCAACTAAGAGCCTTTCCTTTAAGAGCAAAAGGAAATAGTCTCAGCCGAACTGCATCATTAGACACTTGAGGATGTTTTGTAGAATCACACATCATCAGGAATCTGTTTATGAATCTATGAGGGTCTTCATCATCCTCTCCACCAAACTATGCTCTCTCCACCAGTCGAATATTATCGGACTTGAGCTCCCAATGATTGTTGCCCACTTCAGGATGGACAATGCTCGCATTGGGTCTCTTGAATAATGGAGTCAGAATAGTGTCCATAAGTGGATTGTTAGCATCATTGTTATTTGCCATTTTATCTTCTTCTATCAGAATATCTAACTCGTTGAATGCAATCTTCTTCCGAGCGAATTTTCTGTTTTTCTTCTCTGTTTTTGTGATCTCCAAATCAAGTGGAAACTCGGGCTCTTTACCTCGCATACAACTTAGAAAAGAGATTAGTAGCACTTGCTCCAAATATCACAAAAAATTCAAAAATAAAAATGAATATGCAATCTTAAAATCAAAATCAATTGATATAAGAAACGCCAAACCCCGGCAACGGTGCCAAAAACTTGATGCTTCCCGGAAAGTATACCGATCGCACAAGTAATAAAGTGATAAATAATGTTCGTCTCCACAGGGATTGTGATCTTATATTAATTAATATTCCTTTAAAGAATGGATGAGTTTAAACGGTTTTGACAAATATTGTCAATTGGTGTGAATATGAGGACTAAAAATAAAGACTTGTTTTTATGATTTTTCTGTGATGAAGAATGAGATTGTAACAACAATGAAAAGAGATTTGTAAATATGAGAAGAGTATTGTAGCTAGGAAACACTCACCATATGATCCCCGCTTATTACTTTGGATTGATTTAAAAACACTTATTTATATAAAAACTCAGATAAATATCATCTAAAATAATTAGTTAAATTCCAATCCCTTGGTAATTTAACCCTTTAATCTCAGTTGGAATCCTAATCTCTTAGTAACCCCTCATGAGAATTAAGCAATGAATACGATAATTAAAACATCCGCAATTAACATACATCTATTCCTAGCATGCATACTAATCGTTATCTTACCCCCTTTCAAGATGAGAACCCCAATATTCCTATATAGGATTCTAACCCTCACACTATTATCAACTATTAGAGTGATCAATTCTAATAAAGAAAATAGGAATTACGCACAGAGTAATGATAAAGAAATTTATATAAACGGGAGAAAATAAAACAATCCTTCGTAAGAATGGTTCACATAAGGTTTGTGACCCTAACTACAATAAAGAAAAACTTAGCCAACCATATTCATGGCTAATAAATCAATATTCAATATTCAATGGGATGAAAAAGAATGAGAGATGAAAGAATGAAGATGATCAATAATTCTTCTCCGAAGCTCTTCTCATTCAGCACGACGGTATCCTTCGATCCCGATACCTAATTCTATGCTGAGCCTCCTTTTTATAATACTCTTTTACGTCTTCCAAGTTCATCCTTTTAGACAAAATAGAATTGCAGTCTCGCACGCTAACGCTCTCAGCGTCAGATCCACGCTGTGGGCGTGGATGCCTCTGGATTCCCACGCTGTCAGCTTGATATCCACGCTGTGGGCGTGGGAAGAAGGAAATTTTCACGCTATCAGCGTGGAATCCACGCTGTGGGCGTGGTTGCCTCTGGATTCCCACGCTACCAGCGTGACATCCACGCTGTGAGTGTGGGTCTTTACTTTGGCAAATCCTCATTTTGCTCTAGATTTGTTTGCTTTTCCTACAAGTTAAGCATAAAATCAATTGTACAATTCTGAAATTGGAATTTAAGCAAAGCAACACTAAACGTTGCCTTTTTACTGAGAATTAACCCATAATCTTTCTCTTTTTGGCTTGAATTTACCCATGTGCTGAAGGCACATCATTCACCTTGTTCGAGACTATTCAGTCTTCTCCAAGAGGGTTCTCCAATCTCTATCGGAATCATGGCTTCACATCCATACGTCAACCTGTAAGGGGTTTCCCCAGTTGCAGTTTGGGTGCTGGTTCTGTAACCCCACAGGACAAAGTATAGTTGTTGAACCCAGCTTTCTTCTGCATCAAACATTCATTTTTTGAGACCTTCCACGATCACTTTGTTGGCCGCTTCAACTTGCCCATTCAATTGTGGGTGTTCCACAGATGCGAAACGATGTGTGACGTGTAGGTTTTTCATTAGCTCCTGAAATCACTTATCAGCAAACTGTCTTCCATTATCAGTGATCACCTCAGCTGGTATTCCGAATCTCGAAACGATATTTCGTTCAAAGAATCTCTGCACTCGTGCCGAGGTGATTGTAGTGACTAGTTCTGCTTCTATCTACTTTGTGAAGTAATCCACCGCCACGATCATCCACTTAAGTTGACCTTCAGCAGCCTTGAAAGGTCCTAGCAAATCCATTCCTCATTTGAAGAAGGGCCATGGAGCCGAGATGCACCCCAACTCTTCAGGTGGTGAAAGAATTAGCCTGACATGCTTCTGGTAGCTATCGTATTTTTTGACGTGTTCTTTGGAGTCTGCCCCCATTGTTGGCCAGTAATATCCTGCTCTGAGTGCTTTTCTGGCCAAGGCTTTGCCTCCCATATGGTGGCTGTTTATTCCCTCATGGATCTCGGCGAGCACATACTCCGCTCCCTCCGAGTTCAAGCATTTTAGCATGGGGCTGTGCAAACCCTTTCTGAACAGCTGGTCATTCACGATTGTATATTGCGTCGCATCTCGGACCAGCTTCCTAGCTTCTATCTGGTCCTCTGGCAGTATTCCTTTGTCCAGGTAATCTACCAGAGGTTTCCTCCAGTCATTTGCAGATGTTATCACCATCACGCAGCTCGGCATCGCTATGCTTTGCTGAACCACAGTTCTGTGGTTACCCGGATTTTTGGTACTGGCTAACTGTGACAAGATGTCAGCTCGGATATTCTCCCCTCGCGTGATATGAGTAACCCGCACCTCATCAAAGTCGGCCATGAGTTCTCGGACTCGGCTCAGGTATTTCATCAGCAAGGGACCTTTAGCTTGGTACTTTCCTTCTATCTGTGAAGTCACCAGCAGTGAGTCACTGAAGACTTGCACTTTCCTAACTCCGTGTTCTTTAGCCTGCATCAAACCGGCTATCAGAGCTTCGTATTCAGCTTGATTTTTTGAGGTTGGAAATCCCAGGTTTGAATGTTCAATTGTTATTCCTTCCGAGATTTCTATTTTGATTCCAGACCCACTTCCTTTATTATTGGAAGATCCATCTACGTAGACCTTCCATGCATCGCTGGCTTCCTCATGTTCTGAGTTCAGTGGCGTCAATTCCATTATGAAGTCTGCTAAGGCTTGTGCTTTGATTGCTTTCCGGCTTTCATATGTTATGTCATATTCACTGAGCTCTATTGCCCAGTTAGTCATTCTTCCTGCCAGGTCCGGCTTGTGCAACTTCTGCCGAATAAGCTAGTTAGTCCTGACGATTATTTGATGGCCTTGGAAGTACGGCTGCAACCTTCTAGTTGTGACCAGCAAAGCAAAAGCCACCTTTTCTAGCTTTTGATACCTGACCTCTGCACCTTGTAAGGCTCTACTGACAAAGTAAATTGGCTCCTGGCCTTCGTTAGTTTCCTTGATCAGTACAGCGCTTATTGCTTCCTCCCCTACTGCCAATTACAAAATCAGAACATCTCATGGGTTTGGCTTTGAGAGGATCAGTGGAGTTGATAAACATTTCTTTATCTTCTCAAACACGGTTTCACATGCCGGGTTCCATCCTTCAGTTGCTTCTTTCTTTAAAAGTTTAAAGAATGGGAGGGCATTTTCAGCCGATTTTGGAAGAAACTGGGTTAGCACAGCTAATCGTCCGGTTAACTGTTGGACCTCCTTTTTTGCTTTGGGGTGCTTTCATGACAAGCACTGCCATGCATTTATCCGAGTTCGCCTCAATTCCTCTGTGGGTTAGCATGAAACCCAAAAATTTTCCAGCTGGTACCCTAAACGCACATTTTACTGGGTTGAGACGGATGCGGTACTTCCCTAGCTTTTGAAATGTCTGCTCGAGATCCTGGACATGCTTCGTCAAATCAAACGACTTTACAATCATATCGTCAATGTATACCTCTACATTCTTGCCCAGTTGATCTTCAAAGGCTTTATTCATCATCCTTTGATAGGTTGCCCCTGAATTTTTAAGCCCAAATGGCATCACATTGTAGCAATAATTGGCCTTTTCAGTAATAAAGGCGGTCTTTTCTTGATCCGCTGGGTACATTGGGATCTGGTTGTATCCCGAATAGGCATCCATGAAGGATAGCATGCGAAACCCAGTCGCGTTATCTACCAGCTGGTCTATGTTAGGCATAGGATAAGAATCCTTTGGGTAAACCTTATTTAAGTCTGTGTAATCAATACCGATTCTCCATTTCCCATTCGGTTTTTCACCATCACCACATTTGCAAGCCATGTCGTATACTGTATCTCCCGAATGAACCCGGCATCCAGAAGCTCCTTGACGTGTTCTTGTAGAACTTGTTTCCTTTCTGGCCCCAGCTTTCTTTTCTTCTGGGAAACGGGAGTGGATCCCGGATAAACTGCCAGCTTGTGGCAGCAGAAAGCGGGGTCAATGCCTGGGATCGCAGACGAGTTCCAAGCAATCACATCTGTGTTGCTTTTGAGGAAGTCAACCAATACTTGTTTAATTTGAGGATCAATAGTCTTACCAATTCGGGTAAATTGACCAGGCTCTTTCCCCAGTGTGAGATCTTCAAGCTCTCCATCGTTCGGGTCTCGGCATTATTTATTCTCTCATGCCGAGTTCAACCATGTTGACCGGCTTCTTAGATTGTTGAGGAGTTACATTCCTACCGGTTTTATCCCCCGGGTGAATTCGGGGTGGGCTCGAACGTCCCCCTTCATTTTCTTTGATAGTATCAAAGTAGCAGTCCCTGGATTCTTTCTGATCGCCACAAACAGTGATTATTTCATTCTTATTGCTCACCATTTTTATCTTCTGGTGTTTGGTAGAAACCAGCATGTCCCACTGATGTATGGTCGGTCTTCCCAGAATTATATTATATTTTGAAGGGAAATCGGCCACCATGAACCTAACCCGTTCTGATCTGAACGCTTCCTTTGTTCCCAAGGTTAATCTGAGATCAATGTAGCCTTTAGGAGGTGTATGCTCTCCATTAAAGGCTACCAGCGTCGTTTTGCAAGGTTTGAGGTCCTCTTCATCCAGGTTCATCTTTTTGAAAGCGTCCCAGAGTATGATGTCGGCGCAACTCCCTGCATCCACAAAAATCTTCTGAACCCGGCAATTCACTAGGGTCCCAGCAATGACCAGTCCATCAACATGACCTGGCAACACGCCACGCATGTTCTCTTTGGTAAAGTACAAAAGAGGAGGGTCTGGCTTGGTTGGGTCTTCTTTAAACTTGGGACGATCTCGAATAGAGAGTACCTCTTTCAGGTATTTTCTTCTAGCACTTACAGTATCTCCTCCTCCCTCCAAGGCTCCACTAATTACATTACAATCAAACTCCACTTCTAGGAATTCGTCATAGTTGGGATCATTTTTCCGATTCCTATCCTGTTTGTTCTTCTTTTCAGGAACGAGACTTTTGCTCCGATTTCTGTTTCCCAACTTGCTTTTGTTGTTTATGGAACCTTGGGTTTTTATCACGTATTGACGTAGCCTTCCATCTCGAACAAACTTCTCCACCGCATGTCGGAGATCCCAGCATTGATCAGTAGTATGTCCCGGTCCGTCATGGAATGCGCAGTACTTTGATTTGTCCAAACCTCCTCTGTCGAATATGGGCTGGGGTCGTTCCACCTTCTTCATCTTCGTGAGTGCCACTTCCCTCCAGATTTGCGAGCGCGACGCATTCAAAGGTGTATACTTGTCATATCTCCCAACCCGATCCCTCATGTTCGGGATTCGGGGGCGTTGATCTTTGTTCTTACTGTCAACTCGTTCTTTCCCCTTTTGAGGTGGGCTCCTTCTTCTTGGGCTTAACCTTTTGCCCTCATCGGATTGCGCATTTGCAATCTCCATTTGCTCTAGTTCGAGATATTTCTTCGAACGAGTTCTGAATTCCTCCAACGTCCTTACTGGGTCTTTATAGACCGACTTGGCTAGTCTGGATGCACCATCCAGACCCGCCACAATAAGGTGAACATGGACATTCTCTTGCATCCCTGGGACCTGCAATGCAGCATCCTTGAACCGATTAAGATATTTCTGGAGGGTATCTCCGGGTTGCTGTCGTATCTTTCCGAGAGCGAACTCGGACTTCGGATGCTTTTTGCTAGTTGCAAAGTTCAAGAGGAACTTCTGTCCGAATTCTTCAAATGACCCGATGGAATTAGCAGGAAGGGTTGAAAACCATGCCTGCGCTGCTCCAGTCAGTGTTATGGCAAATATCCGGGATATGAGAGGTTCATCAATTCCTCGGATGTACATATCTGTGTCGAAAGCATCTATATGGACCTACAGATCCTGGCTCCCATCGTACTTTGGCAGACGTGCCGAGTCAAAATCCTTCAGGAAGACGGCGTTTAGTATTTCACCAGTAAAGGGGCTGTTGTTGTACTGCCCCCTGCTGTACTTCCTTCTATACCCGCCGGGTTCTACCCGACCTCGAATATCTTGAGCGTTCTGTGCAGGAAGAATTCTAACTCGGTCCTCCTGACCATCAACTTGCGCCTGATGGTTTTGAGCATTTTGGCCATTAACAGCCTGGTTTCCCTGATTCGGGTTTGCAGCGTTCACAAGATTGGGCCTATTATGATCTTCTGTATTGGTAACTCGGTTTGGAAGAACCACGTTCCGAGCTCCTTCACGGCCATTAACAAGTTGGCCGTCAGCTTCAGTTTCTCCTGGTCCAGTCAAGCGTGTTAAACGCTGCTCTAGATCTCGCATTCCTCTGTTATTCTCCTCCCGTATAGCTCTGAAATCTTGCTGTCGTTGTAAGTTATTACGGTTCTCCATCTCCGTTATTCGTTCCATGACTGCAGCGAACGCGTTGTTGGCCAACCGAGTATCCGGATCAGCCGATTGAGCGATACGCGCAGCCAGATCTCCAGGATGCTGGGAAGGGTTGGTTCTTGTTGGAGCTACGTTCGCCCCAGCCCCCTATCTCGACGCGCCGGAGTGGAAGCGGTATCTGAGACATCGTCTTCGACCTGGACGTGGTCGTAATCCACGTTATTTCCAATCTGGTTCGGAGGCTGGTTTACCTCTTCCAGGACTGGATCCAATGGTTGATTCCGGTTCGGGGGTGGCTGCTGGCTACTGCTCCTCGTCTGAATTGCCATTCCTTATCCGATTTGGTGGGAACTTCAAATTCAAAGAAGAATTCCCCACAGACGGCGCCAATGTTCTGTCCTTGAAACAGAGATGTCTAGCCCAATAGGCTAGTACGTTGATATTGGATCTAGTGCCCTCTCCAAGGTATCTATGGAGGAGATACCCTTGAGTCAAGCAGATCACTGTGCACAAAATACTATAACAGCGTTAGCCAATGGGATGTGTGTGTGCGCACAGTGACAACATAACAGTAAGAGAGAGAGAGCCTACGTACCTTTAGGGTTTACCTTTGTATTTATAGAGGTTACCTGTGGGTAGTGTGGATGGGCCTTTGGTTCCTCTGATGAGGGTCCAGGCCTGATAGCTATGCTGTCGTATTAGGATTAGTATCCTTATTGGATATCTATCCTTTATTGGTATCAATCCATATCTTGGATTGCCCCTTGTTGGGCTTGCTACTTAATGAGCTCATTATACGGGTCCATAACAGTTAATTTTCTTGAGATTATGTTTGGTTGATTATAAAATATTATTGGAATATGAATTGAGGTTAATTATGTTCCAAAAAATTATCAAATAATCTTATCATATGAGATTATCAAAATACCACCCATTTGGTGGTATTTTAGGATAGAATTTTTCTTCATAAACATGAATCCAGGGAATCCGACTTCCCAGAAATTTTTTTACAATTCTTGTGCCAAACGTGGGTAAATCGAATTCTCAATCTCGCTTTCCTATAATTTTAAAAATTTTCCTTTTACCAAACACCACTAAGAAACTTGTCTCCATAATAATAATAATAAGAAACTAAAAAACTTTGAAAGCCCACATGCCTCGGAAGAACTGGGTAATCAGAAATGGGCTCAACAGTCTCTCCCAATCCTAAGCACTCCCTCGTTCAAAGCCCATTAAACTTTTTTAGAGACTCCTTTAGCCCAATTTGTTTTTCCTATTTTCTTTCCTCTGCTTTATCTTTTAACACAGAAAAGTGAAGAGTTAAGATTACTCCATAAAAATAAGGAAGAAGGGTTTGGTGTTTGTTTCATTAATCAAAGAAAGTAAGGTTTCTCCAACTTTCAAATTCCAATTACCTTTTTGGCTCTTAATTAATCAATATTATTATTTAATTATCATTATGTATTTGCATAGTGAGAATGAGTGCAAGTAGTGATATAGCAGAGGTTATGTGGAAGGAAATTGAGTCTACACACTCAGGTTCATTTCTTTCTCTTTACACAACCCTAACCCATTTTTAATTAATTTACTTGCAATTGACCCAAATTTCCCCTTTTTAATTTTCATGTCACAGTGAATGATGATCAACTTTGGATGTAAGTCAATTTATTATTCCCTTTGTGTTTTTCTTTTTCAAAACATGTCATATGTTGTGTTTAATGTTGTATCATTTGGTTCCCGAAACCCAGTTTACATTTCTTATTTGGAAAGAACTTCGAGGGAGCGAGTAGGATAGTGGATCAAAGAGGTGTCAAGAGGATTTCTGGTCAGCCTAGTGGAAGGTTTATCTTTCAGGTTTATTTTTTTTACACCAATCTTGCATTTGCATCTTAACCTTTGATTCCTCATTCATTCAACCATTTCAGGATCCATTTTAGAAATTTGGTTAAAAATACTTGGTAGGAAGAGATTTGCACCCTTCTACCCCGCTCGAATCAAATTTGTTGAGTAATTGATGAACATGTGGAGAAATCTAAAACAAAAAAAGGAATTTGGATAAAAATTGGACTTGATCTGTAACAAATTTTAGAAATACTTGCAGCTAAATGTTTGCTAAAAAGATCTTGGTATCTAGTATTCCAAATTTGAATTAAAAAGAAAAGAAAAGATTTGTAGGCTTTGCATGACAATTTTGAGAATATAAGGACTCATTCATGTGTTTGATTCAAATTGTGTATTTATTCTCCACTTGTTTGTTTAGGTTACAGGGGAATCCCGGAGAAAAGACCAGTATATGTGTTTTGCAGAGAACTTTTGCTCCTGTTATTCTTTCTTCTATGACGTTGTGAACAGAGGAGAACAACTTTGTGTAAGGCCTGATACTTTCTCATCCATTATTTTATTATCTTCAGTTGATAATAATCATTCATATTATTCTAGTGCTGAAGTATACAGTGTGCATTGTGCGTGTGTTACAGTGTAAACATCAAATAGCTGCAAGAGTTGCTGCATCAATGAGATCTTATATTGAAGTTAATGTGTCTGACGAGGAGCTAGCTTTATTGCTATCCAAAATATAGCCCTTGCTTCTCTCTCTCTTTTTTCTTTTCCGGTAAGAAAATATTGCCCTTGCTCTGTAGAATAAAAATTTAAATATAGAATTTTATGAGGACAAGGAACAACACATTTAGATTAAGTTAACTTCGATGGTCACAGGGAACTTTTTCTTAGATAAAGAACACTTTATTCTTAAAAAGTACGTTTAGATGTGCTAATGAGAAAAAAGATGAAGCACCAAAAGCCGTTTGTAATAGATTCTCTAATAAAAAGCACGAAGCTATTATTTTTTACTTAAGAGAAACATTTGCAGTTGGTTTTTCCAATTGAATGAACATTGTTTGAATGTTTTCTTGGGAAAAATTATTGAATTTTAGCCTAAATATAAACAATAAAATGTAGGATCAACTTACTCGGATTTAATAATAAGTCTTATACTTAAAATCTTAACCGTTGATCAGACTTATATCTAATAACTTGCTTGATTAATAAATTAAAGTCGTTAGATACAAGTGAAATCAACAGCTCACGTCCTTCCCCAAATAATAATACAAAAGTTTTAATAATGTTATGAAATATAAATGTAGTAGATATTAAAATAAAATAGTTTTGAAAGAGATATTGAGAATCTAATCATGCATGGTATACTTTTTTCGGTAATTGTTGACAAAAGCTAGTGTGGTGAGTTCTCGTAAGTTCTTGATTTGTTATGTCTGTTTCTTAGAAAACTTTTAATTTCTTTTACCATTAACGGTTATCTACTTAGCTAATTACCTTTAATTTTTTTTCTTAATCATTTGTGGCTATAAACCTTGCACATTGTCTATCAAAATGCATAATGCATAATGTAGCTAATTATCTTAGCTTCTACAACTTTTAATTGCGCATTTGCAATCTCCATTTGCTCTAGTTCAAGATATTTCTTCGAACGAGTTCTAAACTCCTCCAATGTCTTTACTGGGTCCTTATAGACCGACTTGGCGAGTCTGGATCCACCATCCAGACATGCGACAATGAGGTGGACGTGGACATTCTCTTGCAACCCTGGGACCTGCAATGCAGCGTCCTTGAACCGGTTAAGGTATTTTTGGAGGGTTTCTCCATGTTGCTGTCGTATCTTTCCAAGAGCGAACTCGAACTTTGGATGCTTCTTGCTGGTTGCAAAGTTCAATAGGAACTTATGTCCGAATTCCTCAAAGGATCCGATGGAATTAGCAGGTAGGGTTGAGAACCATGCCTGTGCTGCCCCAGTTAATGTTACAGCAAATATTCGGGATATAAGAGGTTCATCAATTCCCCGAATATACATGTCCGTGTCAAAGGCATCTATGTGCACCTGCGGATCCTGGCTCCCATCATATTTCGGTAAACGTGCCGAGTCAAAGTCCTCTGGCAAGACAGCGTTTAATATTTCAGTAGTGAATGGGTTGTTATTATACTGCCCCTGCTGTACTTCCTCCTATATCCGCCAGGTTCTACTCGCCCTCGGATGTTTTGAGGATCCTGTTGATACTGAGCTCTAACCCGGTCCTCCTGACCGTCAGCATGTGCTTGATGGTTTTGTGCATCTTGGCCATCAGCGACCTGGTATCCCTGGTTTACCAGGTTACCAGGGTTTTCTGCATGAGGAACTTGGTATGATTGAACCGAGTTCCTAGGTCCTTCTCGACCATAGGCAGGCTGGCCTTCGACATTGGCTATTCCTGACGTCGTCCGCCGTGTTAATCGCCGCTCCAGGTCTTGCATCCCTCTGTTGTTTTCCTCTCGAATAGCCCTGAAATCTTGTTGCCGTTGCAAGTTAGTACGGGTTTCCAGCGCTGCTATTCGTTCCATAATTGCGTTTAACGCGTTGTTGGCCAACCGAGTATCCGGATCAGCCGATTGAGCAATGCGCGCAGCCAGATCGCCAGGATGCTGGGTAGGGTTGCTCCTTATTGGAGCTACGTTCACTGCAGCTCCCCCATTTCGACGTACCGGTGTCGAAGCAGTGTCTGAAACATCGTCTTCGACCTGGACGTGGTCGTAATCCACGTTGTTTCCGATCTGATTGTGAGGCTGATTTATCTCCTCAATGACTGGATCCAACGGCTGATTCTGGTTTGGGGGTGGCTGCTGGCTACTGCTCCTCGTTTGGATTTCCATCCCTTGTCAGATTTGGTGGGAACTTCAGATTCAAATCCAAAGAAAAGAATTCCCTCAGACGGCGCCAATGTTCTGTCCTTGAGACAGAGATGTCTAGCCCAGCTAGGCTAGTACGTTAATATTGGATCTGATGCCCTCTCCAAGGTATCTATGAGGGAGATACCCTTGAGTCAAGGAGATCACTGTGCACAGAATACTATAACGGCGTTAGCCAATGGGGTGTGTGTGTGCACAGTGACAACATAACAATAAGAGAGAGAATGTGTGTACCTTTAGGGTTTGCCCTTGTATTTATAGAGGTTACCTGTAGGTAGTGTGGATGGGCCTTTGGTTCCTACGATGATGGTCCAGCCCTGATAGCTATGCTGTCACATTAAGATTAGTATGATTGATTAGCATCAATCCATATCTTGAATTGCCCCTTGTTGGACTTGCTACTTAATGGGCCCATTATACGGGTCCATAACAATTTGCATAGTGAGAATGAGTGCAAGTAGTGATATAGCAGAGGTTATGTGGAAGGAAAAATTGAGTCTACACACTCAGGTTCATTTTTTTTTCTCTTTGTAGCTACAACCCCAACCCATTTTTAATTAATTTACTTACAATTGACCCAAATTTCCCCTTTTAATTTTCATGTCACAGTGAGTGAATGATGATCAACTTTGGATGTAAGTCAATTTATTATTCCCTTTTGTGTTTTTCTTTTTCAAAACATGTCATATGTTGTTCTTAACGTTGTATCATTTGGTTCCCAAAACCCAGTTTGCATTTCTTATTTGGAAAGAACTTTGAGGGAGCGAGTAGGATAGTGGATCAAAGAGGTGTCAAGAGGATTTCTGGTCAGCCTAGTGGAAGGTTTATCTTTCAGGTTTGTTTTTTTACACCAATCGTACATTTGCATCTTAACCTTTGATTCCTCCTTCATGAATCAACCATTTCAGGATCCATTTTAGACCCAGGTGGATATTAATTCAAAATTAGAAATTTGGTTAAAAGTACTTGGTAGGAAGAGATTTGCACTCGAATCGAATTTGTTGAGTAATTGATTAACCTGCGGAGAAATCTAAAACAAAATAAGAAATTTGAATAAAAATTGGACTTGATCTGTAACAAATTTTAGAAATACATGCAGCTAAATGTTTGCTATAAAGATCTTGGTATCTAGTATTCGAAATTTGAATTAAAAAGAAAAGAAAAGATTTGTAGGCTTTGCATAACAATTTTGAGAATATAAGGAATCATTCATGTGTTTGATTCAAATTTTGTATTTATTCTCCACTTTTTTAGGTTACGGGAGAATCCCGGAGGAAAGACCAGTATATGTGTTTTGCAGAGAATTTTTGCTCCTGGTATTCTTTCTTCTATACAACTTTGTGTAAGGCCATATTTTATTATCTTCAGTTGATTATAAACATTCATATTATTCTAGTGCTGAAGTATACAGTGTGCATTGTGCGTGTGTTACAGTGTAAACATCAAATAGCTGCAAGACTTGCTGCATCAAATAGCTTTATTGCTATCCAAAATATAGCCCTTGCTTCTTCTCTCTCTCTTTTTTCTTTTCCGGTAAGAAAATATTGTCCTTGCTCTGTAGAATAAAAATTTAAATATAGAATTTTATGAGGACAAGGAACAACACATTTAGATTAAGTTAACTTTGATGGTCACGCGGGATGTGCTAATGAGAAAAAGTACGTTTAGATGTGCTAATGAGAAAAAAGCTGAAGCACCAAAAGCCGTTTGTAATAGATTCTCTAATAAAAAGTATTATGCTTAAATACTTTTGTAAGAGAAACATTTGCAGTTGGTTTTTCCAACGAACTGAACATTGTTTGAATGTTTTCTTGGGAAAAATTATTGAATTTTAGCCTAAATATAAACAATAAAATGTAGGAACAACTTACTCGGACTTAATAATAAGTCTTATGCTTAAAATCTTAACCGTTGATCAGACTTATATCTAATAACTTGCTTGATTAATAAATTAAAGCCGTTAAATACAAGTGAAATAAACGACGAAGATCCTTCCCCAGATAATAATATAAAAGTTTTAATAATGTTATGAAATATAAATGTAGAAGATATTAAAATAAAATAGTTTTGAAAGAGATATTGAGAATCTAATCATGCATGGTATATTTTTTTTTTTGGTAATTGTTGATGACAACGCTAGTGTGGTTAGTTCTCGTAAGTTCCTGATTTGTTATCTGTTTCTCAGAAAACTTTTAATTTCTTTTACCATTAACGGTTATCTACCTAGCTCATTACCTTTAATTTATTTTTTCTTAATCATTTCTGGCTATAAACCTTGCACATTGTCTATCAAAATGCATAATTGTTGGAGATTATATGTAACAGTATTTGAATTCTTTGTAACGTATATTGTTTTGAATTCAATTCTTTGTAACCGTAGGTTTGAATTCTTTGTAACGTATATTGTTTGAATTCTTTGTTACCGTAGGACTGTTTAGATAGAGTATTTATTTGTTTTAGTCTGTTACGTTGTTACCATTTATTGTATGTTCGCCTATTTGAAGGCTACCAATGAATGAGATAAACATACAGTTGAAATATCAAGTTTATCTTGGTATCAGAGCAATCCTATTATACACGTTTCCGCATTCCCTTTCAGTGCGAAAGCTGGTTCATTTAACATGGCACCAGGTTGTGGCAGCAAGTCCAAAACAACTGATCGTAGTTCGCCATTTTACTTGGCTGGATCCGACAGTCCAGGTCTCTTGTTAACGACTGTCATGCTGCGTGGTGAGGCCAACTATGACAACTGGGCCAAGCTCATGAAAAACGCATTGAAGGCGAAAAACAAATTGGGTTTTGTGACCGGTTCAGTCAAGAAACCAGGAGAGGATGATGCCGAAGAGTGGCGCGCTTGGGAGATGTGCAATTCGATGCTCAATGGTTGGATTCACAACACCATTGATGCAAAACTTCAACCATTCATCAAGTGCTTTGATGACGTCAAGGACTTATGGAATGACCTAGAGGAAAGGTATGCAGTGCAAAACTTTCCAAGACAGTATCAACTGAAATCCAGTTTAGCCAATATCAAGCAACATGGAGATAGCGTTGGTGATTATTACACCAAACTCAGGGCTGTATGGGACGATCTGGAAGGCAGCAAAACTCGCAAGTCTTGTGATTGTGGTGATAAGTGTGCCATTGCCAAAGCAATCGAGGAGGAGCAAGAGCATGATCGCGTTTATCAATTTTTGATGGGGCTGGATGAATCTACATTTGGTAATCTGAGATCCCATATCCTCAACACTTCTCCTCTTCCTAGTGTCAACAAAGTGTACGCAATTGTCACTCAAGAGGAGACCCATCGTAGTATTTCTCGCGTTCAAGATGAGAGGAGTCAGGTAGTGGGATACTCAGCCCAAACCGATTCCATGAAGCAGTCAGACACATCCATGCAGCAGCGGATGGTTCCTAACAAACCACAAGACAGAATACCTTGCCCTCATTGTGGCAGGACCAATCACGACCCTTCCAAATGCTGGAACGTTCATGGTTTTCCACCAAGCAGGAGTGCTGGTCGCAGACGAGGAAGGGGAGGACATTCGGCAGGACGTTATACGCATGCTTATGCGACGTTTGCAATGGATGCCTCACACCCAGTTGCTGCTAACTCTCTTCCTCCAGACGTCTCCCATTCTGCCTCTTCTCAAGTTGCTGCACACTTCGTTTTGACCCCAGAAATTGTGAACAAACTGTTAACATTGGTAGACCAGCCTCAGTCACATGAAAAATCATCTGGTAAGCGTATTCATTCTCAATGGCTCATTGATAGTGGGGCCTCACGTCATATGACAGGCACTTTGGCTTTATTAGCTGACATTACACCTATTCCCCCTCTATCTGTGACTCTACCAAATGGTTCTATTACTTATGCTGCAAAACAAGGCTCGATGGTGTTTAATACAAACTTCAACTTGTCAAATGTTTTATATGTGCCTAACTTACGCTGCAATCTCATCTCTGTTTCCCAATTGCTTCACTCCAAGAGCAGTAGTGTTACATTTACTGATAAAAAGTGCATTTTGCAGGACCAAGTGCTGAAGAGGGAGATTGGTTTGGGTGAACTTCATGAAGGAGTCTATGTGTTTCAGCCTTCATGTGCTTCAGCTTCGGCAGTTCAAGCAGGAGAGTCAATTGACTTGTGGCACAACAGGCTAGGCCATGCATCCTATGATATCTTATCTCTGGTTCCGGAATTTAAAGCTTTGCAAAATAAAGTAGTATGTAAGGCATGTGAAGTTTGTCATCGTGCCAAGCAAACTAGATCAATGTTTCCTATAAGTTTTTCTCGCAGCAAAGAATGTTTTGATTTAATCCATTGTGACACTTGGGGTCCTTATCAAAATTCTTCTTCTTCTGGTGCACGTTATTTCTTAACTGTGGTGGATGACTATAGTAGGCATGTATGGGTTTTTATGTTGGCCGATAAAAGTGAAACTTATGATCGGATGTGCAAATTTCTTGCTATGGTTCTGAACCAATTTGGTAAAACCGTAAAAATAATAAGGTCTGATAATGGTACTGAGTTCAAATCTAATAACATGGTGAAACTCTTGAATGAAAAAGGTATTTTGCAACAAACAACTTGTGTTTATACGCCTGAACAGAATGGGAGAGTCGAAAGGAGGCATAGACACATCCTTAATGTATCACGTGCCTTACTGTTTCATGCAAATCTCCCTGTTGATTTTTGGGAGGAGAGTATTCTTGCTGCTGTTCATATAATTAATAAAACACCTACAAGAGTTCTCCAAGGAAGGTCACCACATGAAGAATTGCATGGAGTTAAACCAGATTATACATACTTGCACACGTTCGGTTGTCTGTCATTTGCTAATACAAGACCGAAACCAACTGACAAGTTTGCTCCACGTTTCATCAGATATACAATAGGGCAGAAAGGTTGGAGATTGTTTGATATAGAAGCGCAACAAAGCTTTGTGTCCAGGGATGTAAAATTTTTTGAAAATATTTTTCCTTTTCGCGAAGCTCCAGTACAATCTGTTTCTGCACCAAATTCTCGTGTGCCTACAGAGCCAAATTACTTTGACAAAGGCCAAATTGTCCATGACGGTTCTGCGCATCAAATGACAGCCCAACGCCTAGTGGATCATGTGTTCCTCTGGACGATAGGGGGAGTGTTTCGCTGGAAGCAACACCAACTAACGAAGTTGCCGCTAGGGAGTCCTCCTTACTAGAAAGAAGTTCGAGTTCTAGTGATGCATCAACCCAACAGCAGTTGCTGGAAGAAAATCTGCGTCAAACAGTCACACGCCAGCACTGTAACAGGAAGCAACCATCTTATTTGCAGGACTATGCATGTCAAGTAGCTGAAACACACACTCTTTCATCTCTCCCTACTCAAACCAATGTCACCTCAGGTACTCGGTATCCTATGTGCAATTATCTTAGCCTCACTAACTTTTCTAAGCAACATCAAGATTTTGTTGCAGCTATTGACACAGGTCATGAACCACGTACATTTCAAGATGCTATGAGAGACTCCCGATGGGTGGAAGCAATGAGGGCTGAAATCACAGCCTTAGAAGACAACCATACATGGTGCCTCACGGATTTACCTCCAGGGAAGCGTGCTCTTCCAAGCAAGTGGGTGTTTAAAATAAAATATCGTTCTGATGGAACGGTGGAATGGTATAAGGCAAGATTGGTGATTGCAGGTAATTATCAGATTGCCGGAGAAGATTATAGTGAGACTTATGCACCAGTGGCAAAGATGGTGAGTGTACGTACATTGCTTGCAGTGGCTGCAGGAAGAAGCTGGGAGTTGCACCAGCTTGATGTTCATAACGCATTCTTGAATGGAGAAATAAGTGAGGAAGTTTACATGAGATTCCCCCTGGATTCAGTACTGGGTCTAAGCATAAAGTATGTCGTCTTACAAAGTCATTGTATGGTTTGCGCCAATCACCCCGATTCCAAACTCAGCAGTTCGTTGACGGCATATGGATTTGTTCAATCAAAAGCTGATTACACGCTCTTTACTATGCAAAAAGGGGAGGTGTCTCTTGCACTTTTAGTTTATGTCGACGACATCGTCTTAACAGGTAATAATTCAAATGCTTGTCTTGCAGTCAAGGAGTATCTGAATCAGTGTTTTAAAATAAAAGACCTGGGTAGTCTAAAATATTTTTTGGGTATTGAAATTGCCCGCAGCAAGAAAGGAATATTTTTATGTCAGCGTAAGTATGCCCTGGATATTCTTTCTGATTCCGGGCTCAGTGGATGTAAACCGGCGATTTCCCCCATAGAACAAAATCATCGTCTTGCCTTGGATGACGGACCAGTATATGAGAACCCTGAACGGTATAGAAGACTCATTGGTAAGTTGATTTACCTCACTATCACAAGACCCGACCTGAGCTATGTTGTTCATATCCTTTCTCAATTCATGCATTCACCGCGCCTAGCTCATTATGAGGCTGTTCTCCGGGTTATTCGATATGTAAAGAGAGATCCTGGTCAAGGACTTCTCCTCAAATCGGATTGTGACCTAAAAATTTATGCCTATTGTGATTCGGATTGGGCTTCATGTCCTCTTACCAGACGATCTCTCACTGGTTTCTTTATTATGTTGGGTTCTTCACCCGTATCCTGGAAGACCAAGAAACAAGTAACTGTGTCTCGCACTTCTGCAGAAGCAGAGTATAGATCAATGGCTGCAGCTACAGCAGAGATTGTGTGGCTCAAGTCGTTTCTCACCTCTCTTGGGGTCCCTCACTCAAGTCTTATGGAATTGTTTTGTGATAACCAAGTTGCTTTACACATTGCAGCGAATCCGGTGTTTCACGAGCGTACCAAGCATATTGAGTTAGATTGCCACTTTGTACGTGAAATATTCTAGCCAAGCATATTACAACAGCTCATGTGCCTTCTCGTTCCCAACTTGCTGATTTGTTTACTAAAGCCTTGGGACAACGCGAGCTTCTTAGTTTTCTTCCCAAGTTGGGCATTTCATCCTTACATACTCCAACTTGAGGGGGAGTGTTGGAGATTATATGTAACAGTATTTGAATTCTTTGTAACGTATATTGTTTTGAATTCAATTCTTTGTAACCGTAGGTTTGAATTCTTTGTAACGTATATTGTTTGAATTCTTTGTAACCGTAGGACTGTTTAGATAGAGTATTTATTTGTTTTAGTCTGTTACGTTGTTACCATTTATTGTAATAATTTATTTGAAAGGATCTAAATTTAGCATTTCTTTACCATATAGAAAGATAAAAAGACTGTAGGAACGGATGAGGTAGTCTCATAGTAGATTTTTGGGTGCTATGATGCGCCGAGTAGCGTAAAAGATAATAAATATGTTGGATAATAATTATTAAAACATACAAATAAAACTGTTAACTTCAGAATCCAACATCTGCTAAGATAATATCTGCATTTTATTACAAGGTCCTAACCTTGCAATTGAAGTCAATAAGAAATTAACGGATACCAGCAAAGTATGCTAAAGGACCAACAATAGCACCGTTGGTGTAAGTTGCAGGTTCGGAATGACTGTAATCATTGCGATCATCTGTGAATCCATCATTTTGGTTTGGACCTCCAACTATGGCTCCAACCAATATGTTGGGATTAGGATTCATTGAATAATAAAATGGTTGGAAACCTTCGTCACAGCCTATGGTTTGTGGATGAGTTGCTATTGAAGGCAAGGAAGATCCTCTGTGGTGAATTTTCTTGGGAAAGTTGGGACCATAACCTACCATGTAGGACAGTCTTAATGGGTTTTCTCCTAATATGTAGTCTACCTGAAATTTTACAAATAAATTTTGTTAACAAATGAATATGCAGAAGAGAAGAGAATATTGAATGTACAAATGTTGAAATAACGAGAGTTACCTGTCTTTTTGCAATGCTCCTTAAGGTATTTGGAGTGACAAGGACATTGCCACAGTTAAATGTCTGCTTTGTAGCTGACATATACTTGGAATAGGTTGTAAGTAAGAATGTTATAGATGTCACATACTGAAGGTTGTTGTCAGGAAGCTTGAACATGAGCCCCCCTGCACATAAATAGAAGTAATGCATAAAATAGCGTCCTTCTTAATACTTTCGGAGCCCTTCAAAGTATATTTGACTGAATATGAAAAAATTTGTCATATTTAACAGTTCCATGCCATCATTCCCCATTCTTGGAATTATTTGTAAAATATCCCTTAATAAGAATACTTCAAAGTTCAAAGGTAGAACAAAAGTACATGAGAATCCAGAATTGTACTTTTGAACGTGTGATTCACTAAGTTTTAGGTAGATTTTGGATATTAATAATCATGAGGTATATATCTTTGAAACTCAAATTCATGATGTTCCCTTTACCTGGTGTATATTGTGTACTTGAAGAGCCAGAGTTGGGCACTATCTTGCAAATGAAATTCTCAGCTTCTTGCTTGAATTGATCAAAGTTGTTGTCACTGTTTAGCAATGCTCTCTGCAGTAACAATTAAAAGGAATAATAGAAACCCAATGAGTTAAAACAAACTTCAGGCTTAATCTTCACATTTTTTCATTGCTGGCACATGAACAACTTACCCTTGAGAGAAGAACATATGCACCGGCAAATTTGTTGTCCCAGCTGAAGACATCTGGTTGATCATTAGATCCCATGGACTTGACCAAATTATAGTAGGAAACAGCATTTGTTGCTCTGAAAAGCCATGCAGCTCCCCACAATAGCTCATCCTGAAAATACATAAAGCATATTAAAATAACACATTAATAGTAGCACAAAAAAGTTGGTAAACAGTAGCAACAAACAACAAAATGGCTTTACCTTAAAACCAGAATATGAGCAGTAAAATGGGCAAACTGCAGATCCTAATGAATCACTGTAAGAACCTTGATACTGCAAAGCAAATTCATA